CTTTTAAAATTATTGAATAGTACAAACTTCTTGATATTTACTAAAATAATAAGGACTTTAAGCCCTAACACTGATTACTGTATTGGCGGACTAATACTACAGCTGGCGGGCCGCCAAATGCAAGCGAAAACATGTTGAGGAGCGCTCTTAAGAAATTCGTTAATCGAGGGATTGCTCGTTAGCCGAAGTTAAGAATCTTATGGAAGGTAATTCTTTAACCGAAATCTCGTTAACCAAGGCGCTCGTTATCCGAGAGATCACTGTTTAGCGACTTTAAATACAAAAAAAATTATATCGCAGGTACCAAAATTATAAAAAAAAATCCTTTTTAATATAGCGATAATTTATATATATTTTTTGTTCGCAAGGGAAATTGTGCAGGAAATATTTTAAAATTTATCACCACCCCCCCCCCCCCTCTACTACCCAAATTATCAAAATTTTCCAATACAGTATACAATAGACTCAACTTACGCAAGGGTTACCGAGTGCCCTGGGACCTCTTGTAAAGTCAGAAACACTCCTAAATCGCCTTAAATATATGATGTTATTATTCAAATTATTTGCTCTTTTGCAAGGATTCCAGCAATGTAATTTACATTCTGCTATCTTTAGTCTGTGATATTATATAAGATAAAAACTTTATGCCTAATACCACCAAACCCTGGCTGGGAAGATGGAAGATGGGGGGAGGTGAGGTGATATGTTTGACAGTTGATGCCAAGGGCTAGTGCTTTTTTATTTATCTGTCCTTAAGAGTGACTTTAAATTTTTCTCTTATAAAATGTCACTGAACTGACCTGGGAGAATATAATTAACATTGCTGGAATTTTTATAAGACAGTGATTAGTTTGAATATAAACATGCTATAGTTTGAAATAGACATACAAATTTTAGTTTAATTATTAATTTTATAACAAAGGGCTAAAATTTTTATCTCTTGTGCAAAATATATGATGTCTGAATTCAAGTTATTCGCTGTCTTGCAAGGATTCCAGCAATGTAATTTATATTCTGCTAACTTTAGTCTGTGACATTTTATAAGATCAAAACTTTAAGCCTAAAAACGAAGGTCACTCTTCCAGAAGTCAGAGGATAGTTGATTTATTATGACAGCTGGGCCGGGAGCATGGACAATGGTTACCTAGTGGTATTTATTTATGTAGGGGGAGTTTTTGTTTTATTCTTATAACATGTCAATGAATTGACTTAAGAGAATATAATTAACATTGCTGGAATTCTTTTAAGATAGTGATTAATTTGAATATAAACCTGCTATAGTTCGCAATAGACATAAAATTTTTAGTACTTAATTAGTACATATGACTAAAATTTTTATCTCTTTGCAAAATATATGATATCTATATATATATATATATATATATATATATATATATATATATATATATATATATATATATATATATATGTATGTATGTATGTATGTATGTATGTATATATATGTATATATATATATATATATATATATATATATATATATATATATATATATATATATATATATATATATATATATATATATATGTATAGATGTATATATATATATATATATATATATATATATATATATATATATATATATATATATGTATGTATGTATATATATGTATATATATATATATATATATATATATATATATATATATATATATATATATATATATATATATATATATATATATATATATATATATATATATATATATATATATACACACACACACACACACACAGTTGGTCTCACATTAAGCGTCCCAGATTCCGATTTCATCGTATCATGGTGCCTGCCGAACCTAACATTTTCACTCATGTCGCGAACGCCATTACACGGAGAGAGTCGGCGCGACGCTATTTTAGATTTTCCCCACGCCACGCTACCGCGGCTTGCCTGCCTCTTCCCTCCTCAAGCGCGCTGTAAGGTGG